CGTCTTGACCTGTCATCGCACCGTCTTGACCTGTCATCGCACCGTCTTGACCTGTCATCGCACCGTCTTGACCTATCATCGCACTGTCTTGACCTATCGCACTGTCTTGACCTATCATTGCATTGTCTTGACCTATCACATGGTCTTGCAATGCCGTGCCTGCCTCCCCCCACCAGCCTGACAACTCCTGGTGCCGAGTAGATGTTTCACAAGTGTTTCTTGTACAATGAATTAATGTGCCATTAAAATCATCTTCCCTTTTTAATGTCAAATAAAGGACTTCTCAAAATTCCACTAGGAAGTTAACACAAAGAGATTAAGGAAAATAACTGTTTTTTTCTTTTTCTTTTTCTATTGAGCTGGGTCTCACTCACTCTGTTGCCTAGGCTGGAGTACAGCGGTGCAATCTCAGCTCACTGCAACCTCCAACCTCCTGTATTCAAGTGATTTTCCTGCCTCAGCCTCCTGAGTAGCTGGAATTACAGGTGTGTGCCACCACACTAGGTGAATTTCTGTATATTTACTGGAGACGGGGTTTCGCCATGTTAGCCAGGATGGTCTCGAATTCCTGACCTCAAGTGAGCTACCTACTTTGGCCTCCCAAAGTGTGGGGATTACAGGTGTGAGCCATCGTGCTTGGCCTGAGGTAGATAACTGATAGTTACTAAACATCTATGATATGTCAGGAACTGTGATAAATGACTTATATCCAATTATTTGGGGCCAGGCATGGTGGCTCATGCCTGTAATCCCAGCAGTTTGGGAGGCTGAGGTGGGAAGATTGCTTGAGCCCAGGAGTTCAAGATCAGAGTGGACAATATAGGAAGACCTCGTCTCTACAAAAAAAAAAAATTAAAAATTAGCCGAGCATGGTGGCAAGTGCCTGTAGTCCCAGTTACTTGGGAGGCTGAAGTGGGAGGATCACTTCAGTCTGGGAGGTGGAGGTTGCAGTGAGCTGAAATTGTGCCACTGCATTCCAACCTGGGTGACAGAGCAAGACTCTGTCTCAAAAACAAACAAACAAACAAAAATGTTCAGAACACTATTATTTTAAAAACAAACCCAAGGAAGTATAGACAATCAAGGGGGAAGAACCTTTAAACCATAAGAATTTACTCAGCCTCGGCCGGGCGCGGTGGCTCAAGCCTGTAATCCCAGCACTTTGGGAGGCCGAGGCGGGTGGATCACGAGGTCAAGAGATCGAGACCATCCTGGTCAACATGGTGAAACCCCGTCTCTACTACAAATACAAAAATTCAGCTGGGCATGGTGGCGCGTGCCTGTAATCCCATCTACTCAGGAGGCTGAGGCAGGAGAATTGCCTGAACCCAGGAGGCGGAGGTTGCGGTGAGCCGAGATCGCGCCATTGCACTCCAGCCTGGGTAACAAGAGCGAAACTCCGTCTCAAAAAAAAAAAAAAAAAAAAAAA